GCAGCACTCAATTGAAAACTTGTAAGTTGTTCATTTTCTGCAATTTTCCACTTGATATTTTTGGACTGTGAGTAACTGAAACCACAAGCAAGTGAAACCAAGGCTGGGGGCGGGGCAGGGCAGGGCAGGGCAGGGCGGGACACTAGACTTCTAACGCAGACTGGATGCCCTCCAAACGCAAAAGATCTCTGGAGAGCAAAAGAGAATGGAGTTAGCCAGCAATAAAGTTGAACTGTGCTAAAGTTACATGACTAAAGGGGTCAGGACTCTGCAGTCGATGCTAACTAACCTTTGCTATTTGTTTATATGTAGAGGGAGGCTAGGCACTGCACGGATGAGTTAACTTTCCTGATCCGGCCATGTGGATTCTGGGAACTCCGTCCCCAGGAGTTCTTGGCAGCAAGTACCTTTATTCACTGAACCATTTTGCCATCCTTTTTTATCTGTATTTTAGAGATAGGGTCTCTCACTGAACCTAGAGCATCCTGTTTCAGCTAGACTGGCTGGCCAGGGGACCCCACAGCACTGGGGTTACAGACACGACACTGGCTTGGTTTTTACTGGGGCACAAACACAAACGAGCATTTTACCCATGGAGCTATCTCGCCTGCCCTTTTTGTTTGTTTAAGACAAGATCTCCTCATGTAGCACAGGCTTGCCTCAAATTTGCAATCTTCCTGCCTCTGCCTCAGAGTGCAGGGATTGCTGGCAAGTGCCCCATGCCTGGATCCACAAGTATTTTCATGGCTGCTTTTAGAAGTTTGCTTAAGTGTACCCCCAAGGAGCCTGGTTTACCCTGAGTAACCTCAGCAAATGACTAGCTCCTTGATTTCCTAAAATCACTTGCTCTTCACAGATAGAAAGGTCAAAACACTGTCGAAGCCGCGGTTTCTTTCAAAGAGCTCATTCATTTGCTGGGCGGAGCCCTGCAGGCGGGGAAAAGGACTCCACCCCCCAACTCCCCCCCTCCACACACACCACCTTCCGCCAAAAAAAAAAAACAACAACAAAAAAAACCGACGTACACACCACTCAAACCACAGCGGAACAAGCCGCCCTGGGAAACACGGAGACGCCCAGGCCGGCCAGCAAAGCGGAGCCAGGGTCGGGTGGGGGTGGAGTGGAGGCAAGGGGGCACGGGGCAGGTACCAATCCTTGGGATCCACTTCAGGGAGGGAGGAGCCCCAGATGGGAGGTCCCCCCAGGCCTCAGTGCCCAGGTCGGCCAATAGGGACCCACTAGCAAAGCTCACCAAATTAGGCAAGCTGACTGCATAGGGCGGGACCCAGGGCTGCTGGCTGGGAAGTCAGGCCCTTTCCCCAAGCCAGCCCCGCCCTGGCTCCCGCGGCTTGGGAAAGGAAGGCCAGGGTGTGTTTGTAAACATGAGGGCTCCACCTCTACACAGAAACTCGAACTGAAAAGGTCTTGGCAGGCGCGAACCTCAGGCCTCAGAGCTTCACAAAAGCTCAATGGAATTCCACAGTGCAGAGATAAACGGATGTCAACAGAGATCTTTTGTTGTGATACTTAAAGGTCCAGGGCAGGTCCCAAGCCACCACCTCAACAGGTGACCAAGAACCCAGTCCCCTTCCCCCATGGGGACTTGTGGGAACTCTGAGGAGACAAGGATCTGCTTCCTCTCAGCAGGAATACGGTAGACATAAAGACCACACTCCAAGGAAGTAATGGGGCCACCAAAGTACCAACTGCTCTGCAGAGGGGGCTAGGGTCTTCACAACCACTGTCCCACCTGACCAAAAGCCATACCAACGTCGTTTTGGTCAGGTTTTGTTTTTAAGACAGTCTCTTGTAATCTACGATGGCTTCAAGCTCTCTACATAGCTGAGGATAACACAGCTTCCTCCTGCTGCCACTTCCCCAGAGTGGGATTCGCATGCACCACAGTGCCTAGTGTTACACAGTGTTGGGGATAAACCCAGGGCTTCCCGTGTGCCAGACAGACACCCTACCAAGCCGGCAATCCCCAACTCCCACTACTGTTTTTATCTGGACAGACGAAGGACTATCTCTGAGTTTGAGGCCAGCCTGGTCTCCTTAGTGAGTTCCAGGTCAGCCAGGGCCACACAGTGAGATCCTGTCTCAAAAACAAACAATGCTAAAAATAATCCTATTCAATCCCATAATCTTGCACCCTAGTACTGGATATTGAGCCTAGAGCTTCCCCCAACCCCCTCTCTCGATTTTGAGATGAGGTCTCATTATGTAGGCCTGGTCTGTCTCTAAGACACTATGTAGACCAGGCTAGCCTTGAACTTCTATGGGATTCTCCAGCTTCTGCCCTCAAGTGCTGGTATTCCAGGCATGTACCATCATGCCCGACTAAACTCAGGGTCCCTTCCAGGATAAGGAAGTAATTGTTCCACCACCCAACTCATCCCACTCCTCTTTATTATAAGATGGGGTACCACTAAGTCACCTGGATTGGCCTTGAACATAAGCTTTTCCTAGAGTCACACTTTCAAGGTTGCCCCACCCGTTCCACGTGATTTCCTGTCTACCTAACAGGCTATAGCTTCCTTAACTGTTCTTGAGTACTGGGGGTAAGTGACATGACAGGAGCCACTGGGGCATCATAGTCTCTCATAGTGACCAAATCAGTTTACTAATCAAACATCCACTCCTGAAATCCTAGCACTTGGGAGCCTGAAGCAGGAGGATTACTTCAAAATTCAGGCCAGGCTAACTACAGTGTGAGACTGTCTCAAAAACCAAATCCGGGGCTCAGATAAGGGGGTAAAGATGCTTGCCATTAACCCTTACCACCTGAGTTTGACTGAGCCCCAGGATCCACATGATGGGAAGAGAAATGAACCCCCCAAAGCTGTTCTCTGACCTTCACATGCCTTCCCCAACAAACAATATGTCAATATAATTAAAAAAAAAAAAACAAATGAAATGAAATCAAAACAAATCACGCATATAGAACACGCCTATTGCCCTGACTAACTGAGAACTATAAGGCAGGCTTGTCTTGGAACACATGGAATTTGGGTGTTATAACAGGGCTGTGCCCAGCCTGAAATGAGGCTGGGGAAAGCAATCTTTGATGAAGTGACAAGGCTGCGCGACATGCAGCAGGTGCTGAGCACAGGAGGGCTGTCATCTCTCATCACCTTCCCAAGGGCAGAGCTGTTACTGAAGGCTTCACAGACGGGAGGGAGACACATGGGCCTGGGAAGCTGCTGTGATGTGACCTACCCCAAAAGACACAACCCATCACCCACATGGCCAGCAGTACACTGGGGCTCTACACTTGCGCCCTGGGCCTGCGAGTTCCCAGGCTGTACCTCTCGCTGGTGTCAGGGGAGAAGATGCTTACTTGGGGCAAGGGAGCCATGTGTATACATTGCATGGTAGGAAACAAAGTAAGTTCATAAAGGCAAACCAAGGGCTACCCCCACACACAAGCACACGCATGCACACGCACACACACACACAGTGTGCTCATGCTTATGGTAATACTCGTAACCATCTTGGGTTTCCACCAGTAGGAAGGACATCCTCAGACGTGACCCCCCCTGACCATGAACCTCTGGAACTGAGAATCAAAAATCTCTCTTTTATATAAACTTAAAAAGGTGGTTTAAGTGCAAGCCAAGTGTGGCGGTGCACACCTGTGATCCCAGCTGGTGACCGAGGTAGGAGGATCAAGAGTTCCCAGCCAGCCTGAGCATCAGGAAGCTTCCATGTCTATGAACCAAGGGTAGGGATGTGGCCCAGTGGCAGCTGCCTAAATTTCCCTTATCCAGTGTGCTGGTTTGAGTAAGAACGGCTTCTGTGGGTTCAAGGGTTTGAATGCTTGGTCCCAGTTGATAGAATGTTTAGGGCAGGTTAGGAGGTGTGTCACTGGGGGTGGGGCCCAGTCCATCTCCGTCCATCCAGCCCTGCCTGCAGATCTAGCTCCTGTGTCATGCTGCCTGCGAGCCATGTCTCCCACCATGTTAGCCATGGATTCACCCTCTGAGACTGTAAACTAGCCCTCAATTAAACGCTTTCTTTTGTATGTTGCCTTGGTCTTGGTGTCTCTTCACAGCAATAGAACAGTAACTAAGACACCCACGTACAAAAGTCTGGGTTTGAGTCCTAGCACTAGGGAAAAAAGTTTTTTAAAAAAGAGACAGCATTAACTCCAGAAAAGTAGAAGCTATAACTCTGGGGACCCAGGGAGGTTGTCCACAGCAGTGACCCATGGCCAGGGCTCAGGGACAGCACAACCCTGGCTATGCTGGAGACGAGTTCTCAGGGTTTTATGGGTCCCCAAAATCCTGTCCCCAAGGAGTGTGCCACACCTATGCCACAGTCACCAGAGCACCAGCCATGATCTGCCATCTCTACAGGGCTGACCTGTACTGTGAACAAAAGTGGAAGCCACAGGGCTCAGCGGCACCATGGCCTCAGCACCGGATGGTGGCACAGCACTTTTCGAAGCATAATGAACACGAGAGACAGTAAGAGGCAAATCTGCTTCACTGAAAAACACTGTCAGAATCCGGGTCCCGCTCCCCTCTCCATTTTGAGACAGGGTCTTACGTAAACCAGGCTGGCCTTGAACTTGCTATAAAGTAGAAGATGACCACGAACTCCTTAAACCCCTACCCAGGATCATCAGCATATACCGCAATGCCCAGTTTATGATGTACTGGGGACTGAACTCAGGACCTGCACACCCTAGCAGCTGAGCTACATCCCAATCTGTATGCTCTTGAGACAAGGTCTCTCTCACTAAGTGGCCATGATGACCCTGAATGTTCATGGAGCCATGGCTGGCTGTGCACTGGAGATCCTCCTGCCTCAGCCTTTGGAGTGCTGGGGTTACAGGACTGGGCCACACACCCATTCTCCTACTTGCTTTAGGAGACCCCAACTCATAAATCTAGAACCTAGACTTGGGGTGATTTGAGGGTGCCTCTCCCTTGCAGGAGCACTTCCCAAAGTCTAGTTCCATCTCGAGGCCCCTGGTACACTCAGAGGCTGCTCACCTGATGGTGCCGGTCGGGGAAGGGATGGGGCTGACGAGGCTCCGGAGGTCCGGCTCCGGAATATGAATCTTCAGTGGAGAGATCTGAGGGTAGAGTGGCCGCAGGGGGGATGCTGGGGCCTCCTCCTTATGGTACAGGGACGTGAACTGGATCTTGATGGCTGTGCTGGGGAACCGGAAGGTGCATCTGCAAAGGAAGGACAGTGGCTGGTCAAGTACAAGGTCAGTGGGTACAGGAGCCGAGGTCCCACCATCCACAAGGCAGGAGCAGCATGAGCCTTAAGCTTGTTATCTCTGGGAACACAAACCAGCTTACTCTGGCTTGGGCTATACTCTGCTTGTGAACAAAGGATATAAATATCCCCAGACAGGTGCCAGGAGGATGAACCTGTGGAGCCTCTACGTACCAGGACAGAAACAGTAACAATGAGTGTGGTTCCTGACTCTCAGGGGCAAATAGCTGAATGGATCCTGCCCATTTATGCACAGATCTCATTCATTCATTCATTCATTCATTCATTCATTCATTCATCCAGCAAAAATAGTTAAATGGACCGTGCCCTATTTGAAAGCTGACTTCACTCGCTCGCTCACTCACTCACTCACTCACTCACTCACTCACTCTCACTCACAGTGTGGGCCACACTGGCCTGGAACTTGAGATCTTCCTGTCCCTGTTTCCTGAGTGCTGGGATGACAGGCCTGCATCACCATGTCCAGCTTATGCAGAGATTTTAAAAGAGAGTCCTTCAAGGTATAAACAAATCCACCATATAAAGGTAGACATTTAGCCATTTAGCCATTTAGCTCCAATGACATTTAGCCAAGGGTAAGGGAGCGAGGGAGAGAGAGGGAAGAGAGAGAGGGAGAATGGGAAGGAGAGAGGGAGGGAGAAAGGGAGGGAAGGAGAGTATGTGTATTCTCTAACTGGCTTCTCACTAAATTTAAGGCTTACAAGCCTAGACCAGGCATGTCTACTGAGTGACAGACAAACTAATCTGACCCTGGAACAGCTAGAGAGGCCCCACCCACAGCAAAGACCACACCACGTGCTCAGACAAGGTGAGCAACTTCCCCTATCTCTAGGAAATGGGCATTATTTGCTGAGCACATCTTATTTCCAATTTGTGTGTATGCAAGTGTGTGGGCATGTGGCGGCCAGAGGTTCATGTTAAAATCTTTCTCAGTCACTCTCACTGAACCTGGAGCTTGCTGTTTCAGCTAGACGAGCTGGTTGGCAGGCTCACGGTCTGCCCAGCTCTGTGCTCACATACATACAAAATAAATGGATACAACTTGGAAAAAAAAGAAGAAAAGAAAAAAAGAATTCGAGGCCAACATAAGCCACAGAGTTCAGGACAGCTTGGGGTACACAATAAAACCTGTTCTCGAAACAAACCCAATTCACGTCTACTCTATTTGACATCTTACAGCTTAGTAACAGTTCTTTTATTGTCAGGAATTTGGTTTGTGTGAGCTCACGAAGGGGGCACTTGAGTGCACATGCATGGGGTGGGCAGACACCACCTTGTTGGAGGGATCTAAGGCTTGCTTCTTTGCCAAAGCTGGCTGCCAGTGAGCCAGAGGGATCCTCTTGACTCTAGCTCCCTAGAACTGGGATTATAAACATATGCCACAACACCTGGTTTTTATGTGTTCTGAGGATCAAACTGAGGTCCTTCTGCGTATGTGGCGAGCACCTTACCCATCAAGCCGTCTATCCCAGCTCCTCCATCAGCATCTGGGCTTTGGAAAGTCCATCAGTCATTTCCTAAGATGTCTACTCACATCTGTACACTATCAGTTCTGCATGCCTGTAAGCTTTTGCAAGACATCTAGTACATGTCTGATGATGCCAAACTGGGCACCTAAGGACAGAGCCTGGCTCGGGGCTGCTGGTGTGTCAGCTGGACTGGCTAAGAGTAACTTAAAATGCCTAAACTTGCTGGGCAGTGGTGGAAGACAGAGGCAGGTGGATCTCTGTGAGTTTGAGGCCACCCTGTCTACAGAGTGAGTTCCAGGACAACCATGGTTAGGCAGAGAACCTCTGTCTTGGGAGAAGGAGAGAGAGAGATAGAGAACACCTGCACTGAACAAACATGGTACATGTGTGCATCCATGTGATACACCTGGTCAACCCATGTTAACAGGAAAGTTGTCATGGCAACAAATTTCCTCTGGTTCTTTTGCTATGCATTTCTTCCTCTCTCTCTACCCACAGGGAACAGGAAGACAACATGCTACATCTCACTCTGCTGGGAGGGTCCAAGGAGCCCAACATCAAAATGAGAACCTGTCACCTTAGAACCATCATGGCAACCAGAGGCTGTGGCTGTGACCCACTCCTGTGGTTACAGCAGACAGGGACCCTCAAGTACGTGGTTTGGGTGTGAAAAGAGTAGGTCTATGGACCTGGGTATGGCTGAGCTTGAGCTGAAGGGCTTCCTAGGCCTTCCTTCCCTCTGCTCATCACCCTGAATCACAAGTGATAGAAAAGTGCTGGCCTGGGGTTTGCTGTGCAGATGGGGACCCACTCAAGAACATGAGCAGCAGCCTTTCCAGACTCTCTTCTTCCTCCCTCTGCATCAACTGAGCTGAGGAACTGAGCAACAACCATCTCCAAAGGGCCTGCCAGCTGAAACCATGGTCCTTTTAAAAAAGGCTTTGTTTATGTATGGATCCCAGAAGAGGCTCAGATCCCCTGGAGCTAGAGTTACAGGAGATTGTGAGCTGCCTGATTGAGTACTGGGAATTAAACTATGATCCTCTTGAAGAGTATGTGCTCTAACTCCTGAGTCATTTCTCCAACCCCAACAGTCAAGATTCTAAGAGCTGGAGACACAGCTGAATGGTAGAGCCCCTGCCTCAAGTCCCCCATACCACGGAGGTTCCAGATTCTATCTCCAGTACTGCCAAACAAAACAAAGCCCAAGATGAATTCGTGCATGTTGACTGAGACTTTTCATAAAACAGGCTTCTTCCCCTCCCTTCCATTCATGGTGATGAGGATCATGTATCCCCATGTTAGAAACATTTGATCTGCAGCACCAGAAGGGAGGGGAGAAAAGGCTGTTTTACTAAAGATCTTACCATCGCTAACTGAAGTCCTTTGTGTCACCACACACCACTCGACGGCAACCCAAAGAAATACACTGGGCAATAAGCATCTTCAGGTTGCCTGCTGGAACAGCTCCTGACTCACTCTTCCAAAATTCAACCCAAGGCAGCTGCCCTGTCCCCAGGAACTGGTGACAACAAAGTGCCTGCCAGCTCCTTGGCTTGGCAGAGCTGCCTCCCCAGGACACTCAGAGTCTTCCATCACACCCTTCTCTGCTACATCCCCACTTAGATCCAGGGGTCTTAGCTATAGTCTTAGTTTCTTTTTCTGATGTTTATCTGAAGTCACTTTGCTTCAGCCCAAGTCTGGCTACTCGATCTTTAAAGGAGGAATTCAGTAACCTACCCCCACCCCAACCCATTCAGGGGAGCTGCCAAGCTGCCAAAAAGTAAGGATGGAATACCAAGCTCTTACCGACTTGAGACAGTTAACTTCCTCTTGGTCACAGAGACAAGGAAGTACATGAAAAAGCTTCTGGCAAAGTTTAAAAAAAAAATTAACACATCTCTCTGCTACACAGACGCTCCCCATTTCCACTCCTCCATCCCAGCAAAGGCAGGACTTGACTTTCTGGAAGGGACTGTGAGCTAGGGGAGGTGGGACCTGCAGGGGACACCGCACAAGCACTAGGGAGAATGTCCCACTATGAAAACAGACTCCTGGCCTGAGATGTTGCCGACAGTGAGACCACCGAATTCGATGAGGGATGTTACAGACTTGGAGGGGAGTTATGTTCACCATCCACCCACAGGAGCAAGGGCCTGAGCACCCCACTCTTCAGTGTGAACACCCCAGAGAGGGCGGATTTTGCAGCAGGAGGGAGTAGCGCATTCCAGTCTGTATCTCAGTGCTCAGGAAGCTGAGGCAGGAGGATCAGCGCTACATAGTGAGTTCTGGGCTAACTTGAACTGCAGAGAGAATTCAAGGTTAGGTGGGGCTACACAAGACTCTCTCAAAAAACAAAACAAAATTAAATTTTTCTTTTTATTTTGTTGCTTTTATAAATCTTATGTTTATGGGTATTTTGCACATGTCTGGACACTAATAGTGTGTCTGGTGCCTCTGGAGGCTGGAAGAGGGAATCAGATCCCCTGCAACCAGAATTATAACTGGTTGTGAGCTGCCATATTGGTGCTGGGAATTGAACCCAGGTTCTCTGGAAGAGCAGCCAGTGCTGTTTATTGAGCCATTTCTCCCACCTCTACATTGTCCTCCCTTTAGTTTTTGAGACAAGTTTTCTCTGTCAAGACCAGGCTGTCCTGGAACTCAGAGACCTGGCAGCCTCTGCCTCAAGTGCTGGGATTACAGGTGTGTACTGCCATGCATGACCTTAAATTTTCTTCTTAAATAGGGGAAAATGTAGTAATTGACACATGAATTTTCTAAAGTAACCTTAGAGCATAAACCTGTCCAGGTAACAATAGATCAGTAAGGGACAGATGAAGCCTCTGGAACTAGACCAAGATCCACCTTATTTGGTGGATTTTCAGGACACCAGATTTTTCTTCAAACTGGACCAGGACTAGTGTTGCACACCTGTAATCCCAGCACTTGGGAGGTGGAGGCAGGGAGATCAAAGGTTCAAGATCAGCCTCAGCTGCATGAGACCCTGTCTCAAAAACCAAAACCAAATAAATGAAATAAGCAAACAAACAAACAAAAACCAACAAAGGGGACACTGAGATGGCTTAGTATGTAAAGGTGCTTGCTGCCAAGCCTGATGACCTGAGTTTGATTCCTGGAACCCATTTGTGGAGGGAGAAAACCCATTCTCAGAGGCTGTTCTCTGACCTCTTTGTGACCTCTGTGACACAGGCACAGACACACACACACTAAACAAACACATATTACTAAAAAAATCAATACCATACAAAGTGGTTCAAAGAACTCTAAGTTTAGACACCCCTGTGGGAGAGAGGTGGCTCTCTCCATTTTCTACAGTGATGTCACCATGCCATGTTAAAGGATGCCTGACACCTTCCAGCAGTTAGGTTAACCACAACAAGCATCTTACAAAGTACCTGTAAATGTGAAAGATAACAAGACTAACACAGAAGTGCTCTCAAGTTCTTGACCCACCAATGAATACAAGAACTATTTGCCATAGGCTGATGAAATAAAATAGGAGGATCAATGATCAGGCAGCCGTTGACAGGCAGG